CTGCAGTTACACATGCATCTATAATGTTTTAATATTTTAAACATAAAACTTTGAAAACTTTTTAGAAATTATTTAAAAAAAAAAAAGAAGATACTTTAAATGTTAAATTAAAACCGCCAGTAGGTGACAGCAAGTCACTGTTAATAAGTGAGTCATTGCGACTGAACCGAATCATTTAAACGGTTGATTTATTCAGGAACGAAACGCCGTCATGTTGCTCAGAGACGCAAATTGGAATTATATTTGTTGGCGAAATAGAGAAAAAACTGTCAATATTGCATCTAAAACTTAAGTGTCTTAATACTAAATTCTTGTTTATTGAACTGCTGTATAAAATCAATATCACATTTGTAATCATGCTGCTTTTTGGTGTTAAAAAACATCAGTCTTCGTGTGATACTGATTGAAATGATATAAATGTATACATTTTTGCCTCAATTTTGTGATCATTTTAAATGCATTTTAATAAACTGAATCATGCAGTGAAAGAACGTACACTGGTATTAACTACTTCCTATTGCCTTAGCTAAACTTTAGCTAACATACATGGTAGCTCTCATGAGTCATGGATGTTAGCAAGACAAATTAACTATATTTGCCTTTTGTCTTTTAGCTGTAAATTAAAAAGGCACAGGTAGCTTAATCTTTTGTTCATCACATTATTCGCCACTCACCTCCACACCAAGACAAACACAGTGGAAAGAGAGGGAGGGAGGGCTTCACTTCTGTGGCTCTCTGCCTGTCAGTGATGTGCATGTGCCGATCAATGTGTGCTACAGTGCTGTGCTGTGGAGATGCGGAGGAGAGAAAGTCTCAACATTTCCCAACCCGACCTGATATTTTTATTTTTTATTCGTTTGACAGGGAAAGCTATGCGCAAACAGAAACACACGCACACATATATACATATATTCATTAAAAAAAAACTTCCTCTCGAGGAAGAAAAAGGGCAGGTGCTCAAGCCCTTTTTGATGTCTATGTGTGCATGTGCCTGGTGCTTTGAGCTGCATGATGCATCAGTAACAGTAAGGTATTACAGTCTCTTTTTTCTCTTTATGACATTAATACTGCAGCTGATATAGACAGTAAGATCAGTGTGTGTGTGTGTGTGTATGTGTATGAGTCCTGCTGAGTGGCCATGTGTTTCTGTGCTTTTCTCAACCTGTTTGTGTTGACTGAAATCGGTCATTTAGTTTTTAATGTAATGTCACATCTGATCACAGCCTCACAGTACAGTAGCAGCAATCATTCAAGTGCTGCAGGGAGGTGCACAAACTCAACATTTAGTGTTGCAATAAGCACTAATAGTGATGACTGATTAAGAAAACAGCACAATTAAAATGAGCTCATGGTCTGTCCAGCAGGGGGTAGAGTTGAATTATGTTCAGTTTGATGACGCTTAAGTCTGGCTTTGTCAGAACTTCTATGTAAAGTAAAAAATATAAATAAATAATGAAAAATTATATGCTGAATATCAGCTGGCCACAAGTTAATTATTGTAGGAGTAAATTAATTATGTTGTGCTATTTTAGAATCTCGACCCTTTGGGGTCGACTAACGCGGATACGTGTTTTGTGGCATCTTCTCCTGATAACACCGAAAATAACTTAAATTACACTTTCAGTTTTGATCTTACAGATAAGAGCAATACATCAATCAAATCTGTAAATGGTCTACTTTTATTTGTATACACACATAATAACAACAAAACTTTGTGCATTTATAAAATAAAGAAAACAAACTTTTAAAAAGGGTGCGCTGTCTGCCGCCTTGGTCTGCGTGATCTTTATTTAGAAACACGTCATTAAAATGAACTGTAACTCAGCAAATACTCAACAAAGAGACATGAGAGCTATATCTATAGAAAGCTTGACATGTCTACTTTTAAACTAAGCAAGTTTTTTTTTATCGAAAGCAAATATTCTGTGATAAAGTAATCCATATGAAACCAACGCGATGTCCAGTCTTTCACATCTCCCTTCATTATCTTTTCATTCACAGCATCTAAATGTCACGATGCCAGGATGTTTTTTTATGTTCTATAACAGACAGAAATACGATATAAAAGTAATATGAGTTATAATGTTACTAGCCTAATGTCAGTAAGAATAAGTCAAAACTTTACTGTGATAGGATATTCTCTGTTCACGAATATAGCTATATATGTTTATAACTATAATTTTTGGATTGTATAGGCCTACATACAAAGCATGCTTGTGTTTATGAATGTAACTAAGCTTCTGTTCATGAAGATCTGCTCTGGTGTAAATATTTTGAATGTGTTATACTTTGTGTCTTATGGAGTAATGACGCTGAAATGTTTGAAACTGTTTTAATTTTCGTTTAGGACTGTGGCTGCATCACCAAAATCTTGTACAAGAAAGGCACACGCACGTCGTTCAGTTCTGAGTTCGCTGGAAAATCATACCGAGTATGTGCACAGTATAGTAATTGTATTATTTATTAAAATATGTGGTAATATTATTTGTGGTTGATAGTGTTAAAATGTAAGAATTGGCTTTGAAAAACGTCGGTAATCCAACCAATGGGAATTTGGTTTATGATATGGTGGGTGGGGATAATATGTAGAGACCATTCGGCCACTATTTTACATTTGGAGTGCATTTGGATTGGATCGTTCGCTCAAATTGACAATTTACCGTACGCTGTAGAGTAGGAGCACATGACGCTGAGACAGCTCATCACATGTTCATGATTTTGTTATTTATTCAATAAGATTATAATTTTAGGAATACCGCTTAGGCATCAGATCCTTATAAATGCTTTTGGGATGTACGGGGAAATCGCTTGCAACAGTGACTGGGTGCGGAAAGAGCGACAGATATTTTCTGGCCAGTATTAGGAAAGGTGAGTAGAGCTGAATGTCTGTACATTTTTTTATTAATGGGGTGGCGAGCATGCCTCAGTCAATTGACTGACCGTGTTCCTATTTTAAGAATGGGAGATTTTACGGATGAAAGTGGTTTAGCTGGAATTTGAGTAGGAGTTGAAACAGCTGTGGTGCACGGATACCTACCCATGGCGGGAGAAGCGGGTTTGATAGAGGCGCCTGGGCAAATCTGCAGAAGGACATCGACAGGCGCGATTTCCCTTGTTATGTGCTGAAAGTGGAACCGAATTAAGAGGTTCTTTGCGGAGCATTCTTCGTTGGAGGTGAAGTGCTGGAGTTCGTCGGCTTGGGACATTGTTCACAGGACAGGGTGGGGACAAATGCCAATAGAATTGTCGCTGAGATGGTGCAATGACTGCTGTTTATATAGGCTCGTAATGATAATTGAAAACACTGAATGGTTAGACTCCTCCCAAACCTACATTAGAACTGAATTTAATTGTAAACATGCATTTAATTGTCAACCATGGAATTAATTTTTACTTTTAGGTTTAGTTAGTCAATTTATTCTATTATAGATCAGTGGTTAAAATGTGTCAATGACATGAAATTTAAATCTGCTGAAATTGAGCATGTGTGTGTGTGTTTGAGAGAGAGAGAGAGAGAGAGAGAGTGCATGAGTGTGTGTGTGTGTGTGTGTGTGAAGATTGAAGCCTCACTCCATTTAGAAAACAGATTCATTAGTGTGATCATGAAAGAAATGTAAATCTGGACAGTTTTAAGTCCTGCGTTTTAAGTGTAGTAATAAGGATGCAGCATTACTGCAGTTTTTAAAGCTGTTGTCCTGCTTATGTGTAACTTGTGTTCTTTGAGTGTTTGTATGAGACTGACACCTAGTAGACATTTTATTATCAGGGTTCCCCAATCCTAGACCAGGAGAGTCGCTTTACTACAGAGTTTAGTTTCATCTCTGAATAAATGTACCTGAATCAACTAGTCAAGGTCTTTGCATTTATTTTAATAACAGCCAAATGTGTTGAGACTAAACTCAGCAGCAAAGAGAAACCTGCTTTACATACTCACAGACACACCTGTTTTACACACGTCACTCAAACACAGAACCAGGAAACAGGAATAACCTGAGTTCAGGAAAAGAGAAACTGAAGTGTGGTTGAGCTGTTGTGTGTTTGTGTCTCTGTATTCAAGCTGCAAAATGGAAGAAGCCAGAATTTCAGTGAATGAGTTCACGTGTCCAGTGTGTCAGGATCTCCTGAAGGATCCAGTGACCATCCAGTGTGGACACAGTTACTGTGAGAGCTGTATTACAGGCTGCTGGGATCAGGAGGATCAGATGAGAGTCTACAGCTGCCCTCAGTGCAGACAGACCTTCAGTCCAAGACCTGCTTTAGCTAGAAACACCATGCTGGCTGAACTGATGGAGAAACTAAAGAAGACAAAGCTTCCTGCTGACTGTTACGCTGGAGCTGGAGATGTGCAGTGTGACGTCTGTACTGGAAGAAAATACAAAGCTGCCAAGTCCTGTCTGGTGTGTCTGAACTCTTACTGTCAGCATCACCTTGAACAACATGAGAGTTGGTTTAAAGGAAAGAGACACAGTTTGATTGATGCCACTGGATGACTGCAGGAGATGATCTGCCAGAAACATGAGAAGCTCCTTGAGGTTTTCTGTCACACTGAAATAGTCTAGAAATGTTAATTTCATCCCATGTGCTGAACACGGAAATATAAACAAGACAGTTTGAAAACAAAATAGACATGTAGATTGTGAATGAATGATTGAGATCAATTGGAAATCACATGTAGCATTAGTTTAAGTGTCAAATATTAAAATCTGTTGCTCTAATGTGATGTAATGAATATGAGAAGAATGAAGCTGATGCTGTGAAAGTGCTGGATTGAGGTTAGTTACTAAAGATCAGTCAAGTCAACAAGAGCCGCACAAATCTGATGTTGGTGCAGGTTATTGGGTGAAATGTAGAGCTGATGAGTTTGGTTTTCTGTTTTCTGTAGAGTTTCCAGTCTCTCTCAGCACCTCCTGAATCTACAGATGTAAATGATGATCCCTTCATTTCTCTCTTATCTTCTGATGGCCTGAGAGAATCTGTCCTTCAACTGAGAGACAAACGGCAGGATTTCTGCAAAGAGAAGATCAAGAAGATCTCAGACAGAGGTAAAGTCCTGGAGATTCATCTGCTCTCAGAAACCAGTCCATCATCATCTCATATCATGGAGAACATCATATCAGAAATGTCTTAGGAATGGATGCAAGATCATGAGAATCACACTGTTCATGTCTGTTGATTTCCACAGTCACATTCACCAACATTGATCTCTGGACCAGGAACGACTTCCTATGATGTAAGTCAGTAAGAAAACAAGCAGAAAAACACTGAGTGTGTTCATGTTCTTCCTGTAGAAGGTGAAAGAAGAGTTTCATAATTGATGTAAATGATGATTTGCACAGGATATCTGTTCATCTGTACTGAGACACTGATGATACACTGAACATGAAGAGTTCAGCTACATGAAACGATCAAACAGATTCATAATTCCTGATTCTGATGTGTTTTATCTCCATTAGATTCCCATCAGCTCACTCTGGATCCAGACACAGTGAATGATTACCTCCTTCTTTCTAAGAGAAACAGAGTGGTTTCCGACACTGACATAGATCAGTCGTATCTTGATCATCCAGACAGATTTGATGAGTATCCTCAGGTATTGTGTAGAGAGAGTGTGAGTGGACGCTGTTACTGGGAGCTGAAATGGAATGGAGATGTGTTAATATCAGTGTCATATGAGAGCATCAGCAGGAAGGGAGATGTTGATAAATGTAAGTTTGGAGGTAATAATCAGTCCTGGAGTTTGCGCTGCTCTCCCTCCAGTTACTCATTCTGGCACAATGACATAGTGACTGTTCTCCCTGTAGAGCCCATCAGCAGTAGAATAGGAGTGTATGTGGATCACAGTGCAGGAACTCTGTCCTTCTACAGCGTTTCTGACACAATGAGCCTCATCCACACAGTCCAGACCACATTCACTCAGCCGCTCTATCCTGGGTTTAATCTTATGTCTGAGTCATCAGTGAAACTGTGTCGATGAATCAGAATAGACTGATGAGAGAGATTCTACCCATAATGCTTTGAGCTGCATGATGAATCAGTAACAGTGAGATGTTATAGTCTCTTCTTTTCTCTTCATGACATTAATACTGCAGCTGAACTTCTGTCAGTGAAATAACATGTCAGAATAAATGTGTGTAATAAATCGCCATATGGACAGTAAGACCAGTGTGTGTGTGTGTGTGTGTGTGTGTGTGTGTGTGTTTGAGTCCTGTTGAGTGACCACGTGTTTCTGTGCTTTTCTCAAACTCTATATATGTTGACTAAAATCAGTCATTAGTTTTTAATGTAGTTTCACATCTGTGAGATCATATATACTTTAAATATTTTCAGTCTTTATTCTTCTCATACTGTGTAACATATAACCATAGTTTTATATGCAAGGCTGAACTACCTCCCATGTTGCTGTTAAGAACTGATAAACAAGTATGGTGCATACTTGGTGCACATCACTCTTACTTGCACACATGGTGCACCCGGGAACTGGGAAGTATGCCAATGCTTGGGAAGGCAGAGAGGGAGATATATGTAGTTGTTATTCCTGTGCTCTGAACCACTTTGCTACTTCTCATCTGACACTTGACTAGTAAGCGACATTAATAAAAGACTCTTTATCTCCACCCCGGACTCCCTGTCTCTTCATCCCTATTCCAACATTCTTAGCGGTCACCTCATTCATGATCTAACACATCTGTAATTTTTATTACTACCATCAAAATGATCTTTCAATTCAACTGATCACACACAGTCAATAAATCATTTTCATACTTCACATTACGCAGCCTTTTCAGTGTTTTATGTTCTTTTGACTTCCAGTGTCACGAGTCACTGTTTTTATTGTCATGCATTTGTTAAATGCATTTAATAGTTAACCATGGAATTCATTTAAATTTTTGGGTTACAGCTTGGTAATAATTTATTGTATTATTGATCAGTGGTTAAAACAAGTAAATGACAAAATTTCACGCAGTTGAAATTGAGTGTGTTTGTGTGTGTGTGTGTACCTGGTACTGCCTACATTATGAGGACCAAATGAAAATTTTTTTGGTCCCCATGATGAAAGAATGAAGTTTTTTGAAAATATAAAAATGCCTTCGTGTGAGGGGTAGGTTTAGGGTACGGGGATAGAAAATACAGTTTGTACAGTAGAAAAACGTACTCGGTTACTAACGTAACCTCGGTTCCCTGAGATACGGGAATGAGTACTGCGTCTTGCTTAAGACGCATATGGGGAAAAGCCTTTTTTCTCCTGAACTGAAGCCTATTTCATTCACGCAGTGAAACTGCACGGCCATTGGTTCGTGCAGGGCTTTAAAAACGAACCAATGGCGCGGCAGCGGAGCTGCACGAGCCTATGGCGACGAAGCCCGCCAAAGCCCACCAGAATGGGCGGGGCATCTGGCTATATAAGCGGGCGCTCGCCACTCGTTCCTCAGGTTTACTTAGACTGAAGTGACGACTGAGTCGTGCAGCTACATAGCACGGCTAGCAACGCAGTACTCGTTCCTGTATCTCAGGGAACTGAGGTTACGTTAGTAACCGAGTACGTTCCCTTTCGATACTTCACTCATACTGCGTCTTGCTTAAGACGCATATGGGAACAGTCCAATCACGCCGTGCTAATGTAGTGGAACGACTAAAGGTATAACTTGCATAAACAACCAATGCTTATAGAGAAGTCAACAATAACCCAAGGCTAAGCGGGCTGAGCTTTCTAGGTCACACCCGGCCTGGTTAATCGTTCCAGAGTATACCCATAACGTCAACACCCAGGGGTCGAGAGCTAACAGGTGAACAATACCAGAGAACTTAGACGCGGCACGGCCAAGGGCTCTCTGTCATGTCTGCTTACGCAGCGCGTGCCATTTCAAGCGGAAAGGAAAACTTCCAGGTTATAAAACCTCGCAAATGTGGACGGCGAGGCCCAGCCGGCCGCCTCACAAATATCCGCAATGGACACACCACTGGACCATGCCCACAACGAGGCGATGCCTCTAGTCGAGTGGGCCCGTACTCCAATGGGGCATTGGAGGCCCAAGGAAGAGTATGCTAGCGAGATGGCGTCTACTATCCATCTAGAGAGTCTTTGCTTCGTAAACGGAAGCCCCTTGGTGCGGTTACCGAAGCTGACAAAGAGTTGTTCCGATCACCTATAGGGAGCGGAACACTCAATATAGATTCTCAACGCCCTGACGGGGCAGAGCAGAGAAAGCTCTCTGTCCTCTTCAGTTGGAGGAAGCGTGGAGAGCTTAATGACCTGTGCTCTGAACGGAGTGGAGAGCACTTTAGGTACGTAACCGTGCCTCGGTTTCAGGACGACTTTAGAGTCATTAGGCCTGAATTCCAGACAGGCAGGGTTAATTGAGAGCGCCTGCAGGTCTCCTATTTGCTTTACTGATGCTAGTGCTAGAAGCAGAGCAGTCTTTAGCGATTGCGACCTAATGTTGGCGGCTCGAAAGAGGGGCCCTTCAGGGCCCTCAGCACAGTGGGCAGGTCCCATGAAGGGATGGTAGGGGGACGAGGCGGATTCAGCCTCCTTGCACCCTTCAGGAAGCAGATGACCGCGCTATTTTTGCCCACTGATTGGCCCTCAATAGGGACATGAGAGGCCGCTATAGCCGCCACATAGACTTTGAGCATAGATGGGGAGCGACCCTTACCCAGCAGCTCTTGTAGAAAAGACAGCACCTCTGCTAATTCGGAAGTGAGAGGGTCTTTGCCGCGGTTTAAACACCAGGCAGAGAAAAAAGACCACTTTAAGGCATAGAGGCATCTCGTAGATGGAGCTCTAGCCTCCGAAATTGTGTTTAAGACTCGCTCTGGGAGGCACGAAGGCTCCCGTTGAGCGGCCAGAGGTGCAGGGCCCATAGGTCGGGCCGAGGATGCCATAATGTCCCGTTCGCTTGAGAGAGGAGATCCCGTCTCAGTGGAACAGGCCAAGGGGCCGCTATCAGTAGCTGAGTCAGCTCTGATAGCCACAGCTGGTTCATCCACGGGGGGGCTACCAGGAGAACCCTGTGTTTCTGTTCCCTCACTCGCCTGATTACCTGTGGGATCAGAGCGATCGGGGGGAATGCGTAAAGAAGGAGGTTGGGCCAATCGTGGGCCAACGCGTCCTTGGTCTTTGAGAAATAAATTTAGCAGTGAGAGTTGTCTTCTGAGGCGAAGAGGTCTACCGTTCAAATTGCCCAGTATATGCGCTGCCTTTAGCAAGCGCAGGTTGGGTTGAGCCCACTCTAAGAAGAGCTCCACTAGCATGAAGAGGCACTTTGAAGAGAGGCCTCCCTGGCAATTTATGTAGGACACAACCGACATGTTGTCTGATCGGATTAGCACATGGTGCCCTTACAGGACTGGCAGGAAGAACTGACAAGCTCGACATACTGCTAACATTTCCAGGCAGTTGATGTGGAGGCCTTTTTCTGCCATCGACCAGTGGCCGAAGGTCGGTATGCCCTCGCACAGCGCCTCCCAACCTGAGTTGGAGGCGTCTGTCATGACAACTATCCTTCTGTGAACCATCCCCATGTTCCATCCAACGGGAGTTCTTCCAGGGGGTCAGGGCCGATACACAGGCCTGACTCACCCTGATATGCAGGCGTCCGTGACGCCACGCATGGAATGGAACCCGTGGTTTCAACCAGCGCTGAAGGGAGCGCATACGCAGCAGACCCAACTGTAACACTGGAGATGCTGCTGCCATGAGGTCCAGCATCCTTTGAAACGCTTTGAGCGGGCGAGCGGTACCGATCTTAAAGGTGCGGGGGGCCAGGGACAGCCCGAAGGGAAGGACCGTAAATTGATAAGCCACACACTCGAAGGCGAATCTCAAGAATGGCCTGTGACGAGGGACTATCTGGATGTGAAAGTATGCATCCTTCAGGTCCAGGGAAAGAACCAGTCTTTCGAGCGAATTTGCGCGAGGATCTGTTTCAGTGTAATCATCCTGAACGACCTCCTTATGAGGGCGCGATTCAGGTGTCTGAGATTGAGGATGGGCCGGAGGCCACCATCTCTTTTGGGGATGAGGAAGTAATGGCTGTAAAGGCCTGACTCACTCTGGGCTGGAGGAACCCTTTCCACAGCTCCTTTTGCCAGCAAATTCATCACCTCCGAGCGCAGGACATGGGCCCTTGCTCTGCACGGAGGTGGGGACCACGCCGCTGAAGCTCGGGGGTCTTTGAGCGAATTGGAGTGAATATCCTCGCTTTATTATGCCCATAACCCATTCCGACACCCCGGGGATGGCCTGCCAGGCCTCGGCCCGCGTGACGAGGGGTTGAATTAACTCGGGTGACTGGCCGCATGGGGGCAGAACACGTACGAGTGATGGAAGAGGAAGTTTGCTCTCTTTTTGAAAATGTTTGTGTTTTATTATTTTTCCTGCTATCACAGCGGTCGGATACTTGGGCGCATGAATGGGCCCGTTGTTTGCACAAAACACATTTCCCTCTGTACCCGGAGCTGAACGGGGTGTCAAGAG